GGGCTGGGCTGTGTTCTCTGCTGGAGCAGCCCTACCCCTCTGCTCTCTTGCTATAGCAGTGACAGCTGGCTGACAAGGGGGTGGGGATGCCTAGCAGGGATGAAGCAGCCCCACCACTTTTCCCAGCTGGAGTGGAGGGGGTGGGGTGTGGGACAGCAGGTTCAGGTGGGGGGGTTGGAAATCAAACCCCTCTGCTCCCCCTCTCCCATCAGCACAGGATGCCAGCTGAGGTCTGCCTGGCTTTCCCCCCCACAACTTACTCAGCAACAGGGGGGCATGCCCAGCACCTCATGTGGAAAGGAGGGAGTGAGAATAAAGCCCCCTGCCTCCCCTCTCCCACCAACATGGGATCCCAGTTGGGGCCTGCCCAACTTTTTCTCCCTGCTCATCACTTGAGCAGCAGAGGGTGTGGGGTTCCATGCTGGTGATTGAGGGGGCTTGAATCCCTCCCTCTGCCATTTTGCCTGAGCCATGGTCTGGGCTAGGGCCCCTGCTGATCAGGGACAAACATGGCAAGGGCTGCTTCCCCCTTCTGGCACAACCCAGCTGGGATCCCTGCAGGCCAGGGTGAGGGTTTATCATGCTCAATAGCCTGTCAGGGCCTGGCCACCCCTCAGCTCTGCTACCCTCCAGCCTTCTGTAAGCATGTGACTGCATTTCCAGGATTAAAAGTGAATGTCTATTCACCTGCTTCTCAGTTCAGTCTACATGATTTAGACTAACCAGCTAAAATGGAAATTGATTCAAGCTTGGGCTTTTCAAACATTTTGCCACCAAAAGAGACTTGTGGCCAATCATGGCCCCCCAAGATGAACTTGAGCTACCAATGCGATGCTGCAGCCAGCAAAGCAAACAAAACTCTGGCTTGCATCTACTGATACAGCTCACAGCTCAAGTAAGACTCAAGAAGTGTAGAGCCCAGAATTGGATGTAGTGTTCGAGCTGCGGCTGCATAAAGGCAGAGTAAAACAGGGGGATAACTTCTTGGGTCTTGCTTGAGCTTCATTGGTAGAATCCAGAGGAGAGCTATGCACATGATTAGAGGATAAGAGAAGAGGCTGAGAGGCATAGGACTTCAGCCTGAAAAAGCAAACTCAGGGATGATGTGGTGGTACCCTGTAAGGGGTGTGTATCAGGAACTGGGAGAACATTTACTAGGGCACCCCAATGAAAGACGGGGTCTAACCATCCTAAACTGCTGGAAGACCATTTTAGACTGAACATAAAGGAAAAAGCTTCTCTACAGTCCATGTTTCCAAAGTCTGGAATAGACCCCCCCTGCCTCAAGAGCGGTACTTTTAAAGATACAGTTGGATGCTTATTTTGCTGGGGTTGGACCTGATGATCTTGCAGGGACCCTTCCAGCCCTAATGGCTATAAAACATCTGTACTTAATAGAAAAAATGGTTTGTACCCAAGCCATAACAAGGGCAGAGTTTGAACTTTAATAGTAGGTTCCAAGTAATCCAAGCCATGGGAGTGAGGTTATAGGGATTATGGTGGGGAAGAAACAGAAGAAAATGGAGGTGAGAGAACAAAACAAGAAACCCCCATACCACCACACATTAGAATTCTTAGGTTTTTGTACAAGCACAGTAGTACTGATCTTGACTTACGTACATCAAGTACAACTGTTCCAGATCCTTATAGTAATTGAGTGGCAGATAAAGATGCTCTGGGAAGTACTCTACACAGTGTGGAAGTAGGTGGGCAACATGTTCTGGAATGCCCTGGCAGTAGAACAAGTAATATAGTAATAGGCCTAATAGTACTGAGTGTATACAATGTTACAAGGGTGTAGCCCTGTTGGTCTAAGGACATGGGCAGACAAGGTTCCTTGGGTGAATCTGATATTTTTTATTAGACCAACCCAAATAGTTGGAAAACAATTATTTGAACCTGAAAATTTGCTTAATTATTCTCCAACTATTTGGGTTGGTTTAATAAAAGATATCAGATTCCCCCACAGAACCTTGTCTGCCTATAAAGCTACAATTAACTTTTGCTGTTTTTAGCTTTGGGTGCACTTTAACCAAAAACAGCAAAAGTTAATTGTAGCTTTATAGGCAGACAAGGTTCTGTGGGTGAATCTGATATCTTTTATTAAACCAACCCAAATAGTTGGAGAATAATTATTAAGCAAATTTTCAGGTTCAAATAATTGTTTTCCAACTATTTGGGTTGGTCTAATAAAAAATATCAGATTCACCCAAGGAACCTTGTCTGCCTATAAAGCTACAATTAACTTTTGCTGTTTTTAGCTTTGGGTGCACTTTAACCAGTCTCACTTCAGATATTATATTTCCCCCCAATAAGTTTTGATCCAGCATCTTGTTTAAAAAAAAAAAAATATACAAAGACAAACAAAAGTCACAACACCAAGTTAAGATGCTTCTTTATACAAAAAAAGAAAAGAAACAAACAAAAAAAAAACACCATCTAGAACAGTCATTGTCTAAAACTATTGCATGATGTGCATTACTTCGTAACTCCATCATGGGAATGATTTCACCCTTCAGAAGTGCATTAGTTAGCCTACCACTTAACACTTATTCCAACTTTTATATTGAATATTTCTTCTGTAACTAGGTTAGGTGACCTATATTTACGCTGCTATTAATGAAGCTTTACAATCTCTTTATGCTACAGAAATGTCTAGACAAACAGCTAAATCAAGTATACAAAAAACCCCCTCCTACAGACATGCCCCCAGTTTATTCCATTCAAGTGGGTCAATTCACCTCAGTTCATTTGAGGAAGAAAAACCCTATTTCTGCCCTGTAGCAGTCTACAGTTTGAGGGGTACAAATGGATTCCCTTCAATTAAGTTTGACACCTGCTACTTGTACATAGGCATTTGTCATGGACATGGGCAGCTTGCTAGATGCCAGAGCAACCAGCTGGGGTCAGCTCCTGGGCTGACCCCAACCACCTTACCTGGGGGCTGCAGCATCAGTGATCCAGCAGCAGGGAGCTGGGCCAGTAGGCAGAAAATGTTCCACTGGCTGGCTAGTCTCTGGCTTCAGATAGTACATGCTGCTACCACATACCCTGCCCCACTTTTTTCTAGCATGGGTTCCCCCCCCCCCAACACTGGGAGATCCCAGTGTCAGAACCAAGGACCCACAGACCCCACCACATGAACAGAAAGCTACCCCCCCTTTTTTTTTTTTTTTTTTTTTTTTATTTTAAGACACCCCATGCTGCAAGTTAACAGCACGAGGAAACATCCACATGTGGTACTGCTGCAGATTGCATGTGCATGCTTGTTTGGACTGTCAGACTGCCAGTCTGATTTAGGTCATATACAGACCATTAAAGAGATTCAGTCTAGTGACTAGTTCAGAAGTCAGAACTACTACATTAACATAGCATTGTGATCAATACATTTCAAACATGCTGTGTAGCAGGAAGGTGGCTTGCACATTTCAGGACTTGGAAAAAAATAAAAAAAAAACCCAACCAAGTGAACAAATACTACACAACAACTTTCTCCACTTGCTTTCAAGAGCTGCATCTTTTAATGTCAATAGGTAACATTTCTTGGGAAACTACAGTTTATATAGACAGTGTAACATCCATACATTTCCAGTTTGAGACAGGCTTTTTTTTTTTTTTTCTTTTTCTCTTCATTGCAGAAAGTGCACAAGGAAAGTTTATGTACAGAAAAAAGTTGAATGACTGGCTGAATTGGTCACAAAAAAAAAAGAGCGCCTTCAAGTTGATTTTCTAGTTCTGTCCAGTTAAGTATGATTAATTATGTGCTTTATTATTAATTACAGAAGCATAATAATATTTCAAGTTTGTGTTCCCCCCATGTCAGATAGAAAAACCAACAAGACATTGATCAGTTATAACTATTGTCTGGATTAGACCCAAGGTTATGACCAATTTAGCTATTAAATCTGTTAGTACAGATTTTCACAAAAAGGCACTGCCTTGTTTAAATAGGGATGATCATCTCTCCTATAAATCACTGGAAGTGGTACCTCAATTCACATTAAACCAAGGCATGGAAGTCATAAAAAAAAAAATCGTAAGAGATTGTCGTCATTTTGCCTTCCAACATACTGGAGCTGTGCCATGTCATAATATGTGACAAAGCACTTGATTCAAGTTCAAACCATCAGGTACATTCACCAAAGAGGAAAAAAACCCAAACAACCAACCAAAACCTTATCTGCTTGTTCCATTCTCCATCTGCCAGCCAATTAAGAAGAATCCAGCATCTTCATTGATTTGTTTCCCTGAAAGACCCTTGTAGCACCAAGGTGTTAGAACCAAAGTTGTCTTAAGTACACTTTACGTTCCAGATTTAAACCTGGGATTTAAATCCATGGCCCTCTTTTCAGATTTTGCTGCTTAGAGCTGTGACAAGCTAAGTTGTGTATTCAGTTTCTCCTTTACAATTATTGCTTTTTTCAAAAGTTCTGCTGCTGTGTAGAATTTAGTCCCTTAAATTACAAGGAGAAACACAGAATGGTGGAGTTGCCAGGAGAAATTGGCAGGCAGGATTCTTTACTGCCTACTTTGGTTTGCATCTTTATTGTTTAAAGTAGCATAACAGAGACAGCCACATTTCACCACTAGTTAGACATAGTCCAGACAGAAGTACATTTTAAAGTGTGAGGGATGAGTTCCAAGACAGAGGCAAGTGAATGGTTTAAAGAAAGGAGGAGCAAGTGATCCCATCAGGTAGAGTAGGAAAGACTCAAGTGATGCAGAACTTAAGCTAGTAATCCCTTCCCCTGCCTGGAGAGAATAATTCATCTTCAACTTTGTGTTCAGTTCATTACAGTCAGTGCTACCATCTTTGTGAGCAACCAGATTTAGAAATAGCAAGATGTGTTCACATGACTTGTCTGTTTCTCCCAAAGGAAAAACTATAAAGGCTATAGAAAATTTGCATCCAGAAACTTAAGATTTGCATCTCCAGCATAAAAATGTGGACATTTCTCCGCTTTACATTGGATGCTGTTAACTGTAGGTTATTTCAGTTTGCCGAGTAGAAAGATGCAACACTGGATGAACATCAGTTGATTTAGGCAGCCAATGCAAAAAAAAAAAAATGAAACAAGTAGACAGTAGTGTCAGGGTATCCAATTTGTTTGTCCTTTGTTGGTTATGCCTGGGTTTCTGGTCAAGTGAAGAAAAAGAAAAGTTAGGAATCATCTAAACAGCTTAAAAGCAGCCTTCAACTACTACTAGACAAACAGAGAACCAGAAAAAAAAAAAAAAGTGTAGCTTTGTAGAGGGATTCCAGGTTATGCTTAAGTTTTTTTTTTCCCCCCCTCCTCCTCCTCTTAGAACAAAAAGTAATTGGCCCCATGTTAGAGTGCAGATGTAGCAGCATTAGGTTTTTGCATTTTTTAGACAAAGAATCTTTCTGGACATCTTATTATAAGTAAACTTGCTATTCTACTTATTGGGAAGTTGCCACTTGACCTTGCTACAAAGTCAATAGCCAAATGATCCTGCGTGTTTAAGATATTCTTGAAGTGGAGCTCCAATTTATTTTTTTTTTTAAGTTAAACTTTAAGTTCTGGTAACTACCTTCACAGTAGACAAACTCTACTTCGGAACGTGGAGGTTAGAAATGAATTGGGCTCATTTCCATGTGGCTGAACTCCCATAAGCAACTCAGTTGTCTTACCTGCTTCTCAGGCCTGAGTTAAACAAGCTCTTTTGCATGAAGTAAAAATAAACAAAGACACCCAACAATGAACAAACCACACAAGAACGTCCCTCCCTCCACAACAAACAGACATCAAAAAACTATGAACTGCAGGAGATGGTCCAATGAGTTAGTGCACATGTCTTCCTAGACATGAATTGGCTACAGTACTGGCACTTTTGTTATAGAGATTCTAGAATTAAGTTTCTTCTTCAAGACACTACTCAACAATATTATGCATTCTGTAAATAGGTTTAGAGATGGACCACTTAAGATAAATGCTTATTTGAACAAATATTATTCAAGCACATTTAGTATAGCCAAGTAAACTATTGGCTAAATTAAATCTTCATTAGTGTACAGCAAAACTCATTACTATTTGAATTCTTTTCTTGTCAATGGACTTCTAAATAGAAGTTTCATTCCAATTGCTTTGGTTAGAACTCATCTAGGAAGAAGTTTTAAAATTAGAAGTTAACCATCCAGCACTCAATTCTTAAGGTGAAAAAACTTCCCTATTCTAAAAAGGGATGATTAAGATCTTGCCACATGCCATAACTACTTCCCACAGTTAGTACAGAATGTTAAATGAAGTTCTACTATTATTAGTTACTGAAGTGGTGAATCTTCTACTTAAAAAGGAGAGTTACTCCATTAGAGCTAGTGCCCCAAAAGCTCCTCTAAAAAACAAAACAAACCAACAACCCAACAATACACAAAAACCAAAAAAACCCCCAACCACACCTTACCCTGCTCTTGCACCTTAAAGCCTTGTTAGTATGCTAATGTTCTTCCTTTCCAATTCCTTTCCCCCCTCCAAAAGGGTCAACAACCAATAGGCTCAAGACAGCCTGGGGCTGTTCTAAAATTTCTTTTCAGTCATGGGAAGAAGAATAAGTTTGTTTTATTCTCCATAAAACCACCATACTGATTAGTTTGGTCACTTACCAAATTTATGCAAATGGATTTCCAAAAGGATCACCAAATGGATCAGAAGTTGATGGTTGGTCAGGTGCCGTCTAAAAACAGAAACACCCCTAATAAAGCCACACATGCTGAAAAGCTATTTTCAGATTGCATCTTTATACTACTAGCTAAATATGCAGTGTCTAGAATGTGTGCCAATCAAAGCAACTTAAGCTTTTTTGTGCACTTACCATATGGTCAGGTTTAGACCAGAATTAACTTAAACTAGCAAAGTGAAAGCTATATTAGGACTAAGATAAACCAAGACCTGAGAGGGGGCATCATCTCTTATTGGGAAGGTCACTTGTCTAATGCATGTTAGTTTGGACTTAAACAAATTGCACTTAACTAGCTGAAGACTAAAAAGTGTGACTATTGTAAGCTGGATTTGGAGATGTTCCAGAGTTTCTATACAGGGCTTCAAGTCTTATGTTCTAGATGAGGCATGTTGTCAGGCTATTTCCTTTCCTTAAGGATATTTAGAGCTGGAGCCTCATTTGTCAAGGACAGGAGCTACACATCCTATTTTCTAACCTTTCTGCAGAGCAGGGGTTGAACTGAATTTGCAAGCATTGATTCAGGCTTTTGCAGCTTTTTTTTTGGCAGAACAAAAGCAAGCCTGAAGAAGAAAGGTGAACAGATAGAAAGGGAGTTAGCTGGCCAGCCCCTGTACAAATAGGGGAAAACATGATTTAAAAGCCAAGATGAACCAATTCAGGTAATCATGTTCTTAAGTTAGACCTGGAAGACCAGAGTTTCTGGACCCTCCATTATGACAACTTCTTGGAAATTGCAGAACTAACAGAGCAACTGCAGCTGAAGACCAGATACAGCAGGCTTCAAGAGAGAGTCTAAAACAGGCATACTGCTCCCCAGTACTTACAGAGGGTTTTGAAGGGGCACTGAAAGGATCAGTTTTAAATGGGCGGTCAAACAGGCCATTATCTGGCAGAGTGCTTTGTCCAGGAGCAGGTTTTGGCGGTTCTGCAGGAGAAGAAAACCCAGTAAGTTAGAAGTACATATAGAGCCTCTTGTGCTCAGTCTGTGCAGTCATAGACAACTATGTCAGGGGGGCGTGGCAGCAGCGGCATTAAAGAGCCAAAGTTGATGTTGGTTGGACTCTTGGTTCTTAAATCCAATTATTCATAGTTGGACAAAAAACAGCAAGTTTAGCATGGGTTTGAGCCCTAGTCAAGTGGACCAACTCAACTTGGATGCTAGATGGCAGCATTTAGCTGCTTACCAAGCTAGCATAGGATGGCCTAGATCAGTGCTTCTCAAAGTGGTGGTCCACAGACCTGTGTTGGTCTGTAGCAAGTTGCCAGGAAAGAAAGAAATACCAATGTTATGCTTCTGAAAATTGTATGTCATAACACCACAGTTTGTATGTTCCAACACTCCAGGTGATTTCATGTAATGCAAAGTGAGGAAAGAGAAAGAAAACAGCCAGCCAGTTGTGCATTTGTGTAGCACTGTTGCATGCAGTTGCTGCCACCAGCTGAACTGGGCACCAGTCCCTGGCCCACTGAAAAAAAAAAAAAAAAAAATTGCTAGTCCACCACAGATAGTTTGAGAAGCATTGACCTGGATCACACTTTAGTTTGAGGGAAAGTGGGGAGGGATGGCAGCAGCAATAATAAAAAGCTAGTCTTCTACAGGATCCACTGCAGAGCAAGCAATCTTTGTACAGGGGGATCTATTAACCCTATTAGTGGTTCCCTTCCCCACCCCCTAAAAAGCCTAGCTACTTGGGGTGTGGTACATTAAGAAGGAATTTACTAGTCAGTCACTTTAGTATAAAATATGTTAACTTCAGGGTCATAATCTGTAGTCTTTAGGAATGCCCAAACTTGCTACTAAAGCACCCAAAAAACCCTCAAGTAGTACCTGGTAAACTTTGCTGTTCTCCCCTCCTTGCTGGTACTGCAGGTGGTTTTGACAGCTGGAAGTCTTTGAACATTTCTTTTACATCCTTCATTTCTTTATCTCCAAGAGGGTCCAATGCAGTGAATGCATCGCTTTCCTTCTTGGAAACTTCCTTCTGAGGTGCAGTTCTAGGTGGTGGCTGTGGAGGGCTAGTAGCTGGGATAGATGACTGAGCAGATAGTGTGGTAGGAGGGAATATGGTGCTCTGGAAAGGATTGGTAATGGTGGATGGCTGTGCCCAAGCAGTAGGAGAGACACGTGCTGGCTGACCCCAGAGACCAGCTGACTGAGCAGGTGCTGGGGCTGGAAAGGATGCAGGCTGAGTACCAAAGGTGAGTGGCTGGGCAAAGCCTGTAGGCTGGGCACCCATTACTGATGCAGGAAATACTGATGCAGCCTGACTGAAGACAGATGACTGAGTACTCCATGGTGATACTGAAGTTACTGGCAAGGTACCTGAAATGGAGCAATTACACAAAAAACAGTCCATCACTTTTCCCCTTCACCACATAGACATTAATACAGGAAAATTTCAGAGTTCCATCCCTCCAATAGTCCTTATCCTTAAGTGAGAAAAATAAAATTTGATCTGCATTAAAAAAAAAAAAAAAAGATGCAGGCTTGCTATGCATGTCACTAGGCAATATACACAATGAATGTACTTTAGTGTTTGACCAACCTGATTCTGTAGTGCTTTTACATAAGTGTCTGCTCAAGCAAGAGCTTGCTACAGAGGCTAAAATAGGCTTTGACTTGCCTAATGCTTCCTGTACTGTGGTCTCCACCTGATCATGCAGAAATGGAACTTTTAATACTAAAGGCTTGTCTTGAGAGATGCCGGACAAGTTTGCCTTTAAAGCATGAACAGTCAGAGTACAGCTTAAGAGGAGTTAAGCAGCTTAAAGCAGGTTTGGACATGTATTCATGACCAATGGCTTGAAGCATTTTAAAAAGGTTCCTTGCAGAGTCCCCTGTGGTTCAGTGGTAGAATCCTCATCTGCCACAAAGGAGACCTGGGTTTGATCCCAAGATGCTTATACAAACTAACTATAAGCCACAGAGGAACAAGAGTGTCTGGACTTAGTCTGGCCTTTAGATCTCATCTCAGTAGCCTGAAGGAAGGAATGGAAGGTCTGGGTAGCCTTCACTTCTCCATACTCCTGCCTACACATGTGTATTAAGAGGGTCTGGGTGACTTCATGCATACATCATGATCCAGAAGGATCAATGTTTGCCAGGGTTCAATTGCAAGAACTGTGTATTCTGTTAAGGTGGGCCATTAGTGCCTTCAGAGACTTAATAAGGCCCTCCCAGCTGAGACTAGTAATAGTGCTCATCCTCACTAGAAGGAAGCTGCTCTCCCCCTAGCATCTGGGAAAAAAAGCAAGCCAAGAACTGGTTTAGTATGGAAGAAATGTGGTTTAAAGCAGCAGCTGGGCTGGTTGGCCACCTGCCAATTCAAGTTGCCCTGTATTAAGTCTATTTTGGCCAAAGTAGTACTCAAACAGGTCCCCTGTTTTTCCCCCCCTCCAGCTGCTCAAAACAAGTAGACTTGCTCAGCTCCTGTTTCTTAGATTCTGTCCCTCAGGAGACTAGAGGAAAGTTCATAAGCTTTATATGTTTTGCATAGCATGCAATACTTGGATGCCATCTACTTCAAGACTATTGTCTCAATACCTGGTTATTTAGCTACACATCAACGTAGTAAAGCTGTATGAATTGTGAGTAGCTAAGTTTTACCTGACCTTTTCATTTTAGACTCATTCCTCATCCCTGACCTAGTTGTGCAAGCCATCTCCTCCTGGGGCATTAATGCCAAGTTCAATGCATCTCAGTAATCTCAAGTCTTAGCTACAAAGACTCGATGGACTTTTTTTTATTTTTTTTGAAAAAAAGTATTAAAACCCCCCCACAAGAAGTGAACAAGCAGCTTTACTCCATGCACACAGCTGGCTCCCAACCCTTTCCCCAGCTTTAGAAGACTTTTGGGTGTGGAAGAGAAGGAAGAGTAACATACATTAAGGACAACTCCATTCTAGGGTGGTATGCAAAGACAGACTACGCTTTTGGCCCTCCCAAAAATCAACATTAGTCTCAAGGTCTCAGCTTTCCATCCCATATAGCTCTGCAAGATGCGATAGCTCAGCTAGGGATTGAAGTCATGTCCTTAGCTTGGCTGTGGATCTGGGACAAGAGCTATACCCTAGAGCTCTCTTTATTTATCTGTTTTTTTTTGCTGTAAACAAAGTCTTCCAAAGGTTTGGTACTTGTTCATGCAGAGGTGAACAGAGGCAGCAGGCCAAGGTATTTAATGATCTTAAAGGATGAAAGAGTTAGAGGGCCCAGCTATATTGATATACTGGCTTTGCAAGTTCTTTACAGTACCAAAGTATCACAATAGTTTGGTACTAGCCCGATTGCTAGGGCTAACAGATGGTGTATATTCATTTTACAAAGGAAAGCCATGTGGCTAGTTCCCTAGAATTTTTTGAAGACTACAGTGGCAGAACCCTGAAGCAATTCCTTAGGGATTCTAGATAGTGTGCAAGTTTGCTCACCATCTTCCTGTGGGCAAAAAGGTTTTGCTTAGAGCTTGCAAGTTACTTTGACTGGCAACTAGCTAATGGACTTCCATCATCTTGGCATATGGAAGATTAACAGTATGACACTGAACATCTTCAAGGCAGTCAATATTAGGAAGGGCTGGCTGGGGCAGACACCATTTGAGTGCCTAAAAGCACCAGCCTGGGGCTGGCAAATTGGTCTGCCTGAAGTCAGTGGCAGCCATCTCTACACCTTGGTCAGTGGCTAGTGGAATTTGGCAGCTATATTGCCAAGGCCTCCAAAATGTTACTTTATAGCAGAAAGGAGTTGTTAATAGTTACAATAGCTGAACTGACCACTTTGACTGCATCAAGCACTTCACTCTTCCATTTCCTTCCCTGAAGATGGTATCAATATAACTGCCAAATGCTACACCCAATCTTAGTATGTATGGCTTATAGAACAGTTGGTCACTATATGCAAGACACAAAACTAGAACCAAAAATCAGATGATCATCCATTAATTTCTCTCAAACTATAGCTTTAAACAAAACAACCCCCCCAAAAATGCAACAAAAACCCCCAAAAACACACATGTTGAGTGAGAGAGATGAATGCTGCAAGAACAGAAGCTAGAATGGCTGAACTCAAGCATTCTGGTGGGAAAAGAGCCAGTTTAGCCATAATGGTTTAAAAAAAAAAAAAAAAAACAAACAAACAAACAAAAAACCCCCAACCTACCTAAGAAAATCATGGGAGGTGCTGTGGTAGGACTAGCTTTGAAGAGGTCCAGTGGGCTGGTTTGCACAGGGGCAGGTTGTGCTGCTGCAGAGGTCAAGCCTAGGCTCTCTGTAGCAGTAGGGGCAAAGAGATCTGAGCCAAACAAGTCACTTGCTGCAGTCTAGAAGTGAGACAGAGGTCAGTTATACTCCCACTTTAAAAATGGTGGTAGGTAACAGTTCCTTCAGTTGAAGGAAATTGCATTCGTTGATCAGAAAGAAATGCCAACTCCAAAATACTTGCAACTGCCGCTTCCTTTAGTAGCAAACATTCCACATGTCCGTCTGCCCTGCCCCCTCCCCCAAAAGCCAAGCCGATGGGTTGGTGGGCTCCAACTCTAGGAATTCTAGGCTCAGAGACTTAACATACATCTTCCCAGCCAAGAAGATGGCATGGCTTACAGCCTTCCCCCCCGATTTGTCCTGCATGGGACAGGGGGGGTGGTGTCAGTCTGTTCACCAAGGATAATGGAGTCTTATGGGTCAGGGAA